TCAGGCCTTGCAATCTAATCGTCCGATCAATCTTGTCTTAATTAAAAATACTGAAACGAATTTCATAAACAGGGCCCTAGAATTACACACACACACACACACACACACACACACACACACACACACAAATTCAAGTTTAATGAAAACATATATAGAGAGAGATGTACCCAGAAGGATTAGGTTGGGAGCCAGAAGGTCCATAAACAGGCTCACTCGTTGATCTGTCATTCCTTCCTGAACTGCAAAGTTCAGCAACAAAAAAGACACAACAATACGTAAAAAGCACATTCCATGATTCTTACACTTCGTATGCATAAATTTTTATAACCATGACTAACTTAGCACAATCTTAATGCACTTCTAGATCATATCAATACAAGATATTTAGCAGAACTAAAGATAATCTAAGACGAAACACAATTACCTTAAAGGGTTACTAGAGGAACTGACACTGGAAGACCCATCTAATTTAGTCAAAACTTGAGTTTCCAGACTCTTCACCAGTTTCTCCAAATTCTTGAACTGTGTAGAATAATTGCTACCCCCATTCTCCCCAACATGGTCACCAACGCTGAAAATTGTTAAAAACACCACCCAAACACCATTAAGAAGCAAGAATTGAAAGTGCCCAATTGTAGCGACACAAAGAATCACAGAAAAAACTTACTTGATTTCAAGATGGACGGGCTCAGAACTCCCATCAGCCAGAGCATCTACAAGCAATTTATCGTTCATTACAAGGCACTTAACCAGCACCTTCTTCGAACCCTTTTCTGGGTTCACATAGACGAACGCGTACTCGTCGTCAAGCTCGTTCCACTGGTCCATACCCACTTCATCTAAAACCCCAATTAAACAAAAGCAGAAAACTTTTGAAAATTTACTAATCATTTTTAGAGGAAAAAAACGAAGAAATTTTCGACATTTAAATGAGGGAGTACCAGTTGAAGGCGAAGAGAGAGCAGAATCAGAAAAAGCAGGGGGGCCAGCGGCGGTGAGCACGTAGCCGGAGGCGAGGAAGGAGGCGTGAACGGCAAAGACGACCTTGTCGTTGTTATTGCGAAATGATGGCCTCGCGGCTCTGATCACTGCCATCACCGACTTGTCGTTCGCCATTGCAGTGTGTCTCAGCGTGATTGATCGGTGGGTTTTGTTTCTCTTTTCTGTTTCTAGAAATGTAAACGAGTTTCTTTCTTGCGAGAGAGGGAAGGCTTGGGGAGGTTGGGGAGAGTTCGCGGTTTTATATACGTACCCTGCGCTTTGGGCTGGAAATTTCAGACATTAAGGCCCAATGGAGTCACTATACGGCCCACCACAATGTGAATTCGGTTCTTCTAATTATGGATGCTAAAAGAAATGAGATAAATCGAAAATTATTTATAGTTATTTAGTTATCTTGATTAGAGAATTAAAATAGGGTTACTTTGATTTTGCTTCGTATATTATTGTTAGTTTTCTATTCTTTTCCTTTTAATGTATGATTAAGATTCTCGATTAGCTATTGAACTAGTGATATTCTCGTAGTTGATTTATGAATGAAATTATCTCTTCTTGTGTTATCTTTTACGTATTTATAAACTTATAGATTCTCCTCCATGTATCTAGTTCTTCTCTTGAACTCTAATTCCTCTTCTCTCCTAAATTCCCTTTCTAATTCCAATTCGGTTAAATTTGAAGTGCCACTTTGTGATCTTCAAATTTCACAAGTCATGGAATGAAAAATGATATGATGCAAATGTGGTTACTTCCATAAAGGCAGTTTTTAGTTTACACTACATGAAATTTACAAGGCGCATATGAAGTGGCTTCAATATCATATTCTACTTGGTATCAATTTCTTTACAATGATGTAACCTTAAATATAACACCCAATTTACATACATATGACAAAACTAGCTAGCAATATGAGCACCAGGTCCAGCAGTATCTCCTTTATGTCTTGCAGTTGCTCTTATGTAGCAGAAAACTGCCACCAGGAAGGTGGTGGCAAGCCCTCCCAGGATCACACCTCCACCGGCAACCGACTTGTCCAGAGAATGGTGGTGCTTTTTTAGGTGGTTCTCCTCTTCTACGATACTCAGACTCTCTTCAGTCACTGGACTTGGATTTGTGGAAGCTAGTGCACTGCTTGGGCTAAAAGTTGGTGGCTTGCTCTCACTAGCTTGGTGCTTTCCAAGTTTCCTAATCACAGGTGCTTGTGCCTTGTACAAGTTTTTGTCATTAGAAGGACTTGGAGTTGGAGCCATGGTTTGAGTCTGCTCTGTGGTTTGAGTCTTTTCATCTGCAGCCATGGTTACACTCACATAAGCATCTGCTAAGATCAAGCAAAGGAGAAGCAATTGATATTGAGCCATTTTGCGTAAATGGGGTGTTGGAGATGCTTGTGTTCTGAGGCAATGAGGATCAGATGGTAGCTCTGAGAGCCATTTATAGGGATTTCCATTGAAGCAGATCCTATATAATTGTGTGGCT